TAAATATAGGTATTTTTTACTTATCAGTTAAACAACCATATCAAGTTCAGACATGCCTTTTTAAATTAATTTTAATGTGTCTTCATAACATTGTTAAGAAAAACTGCATCTTTATTTTTTAAACTGTCTTTTAAAAACACACCGTGCATGGTGTTGCCATTTCCTGTTTAGGATGGAAGCTTTGGAATCGTTTCACATGTCCTTGGCCATTTTGTGGCATCATTTCAAGGCAATTGGGCCTTTAATTTTCAGAAAGCAAAATTCTCACACTGAACACACCTATAGAAATGCATGTTGTTTTTGAGACGTCTTCACTGCAGAAATCTTTCCTGAACTTTTTACTGAAAAAGTAAATATAGTGACTTAAAGTCTCAGCCTATCCTAATGGTACCTTCATATACTGCTCAAAATATGTATTTGTTATTTTATCTTTTTAAACATGATATCAAATTTATTTAGTCACTGGATAAAAGTCTACAGAATTATTGAAAGTTATGACATTTCTTAACATGAGGTAAAAGCAGTCGGTAGTTTTTGCTTTTTTATATGCTAGAATCAGGAAAATAAGAAAACTGTTAATTGTTTCAAAAGAACAGACCACTCAGAGTGTAATTCCATGAAATCCTGAACACAAAGAATTTATCTGGTACTCTATTTGGATAGTACGAGTTTCTGTCTTAGCATCCTCTCCTACTGGGCTGCTTTGTTGCCTTTTGGTCATAATAAGAACTTGTATAGTAAAGTCATTATTTGAATGTAAGTTGATGTACCTTGTTGTGAACTTTGTGATTTTAATTTTTGCTAAATGAATTCAATATCAATGGCATCTATCCCAGCAAGAAGGATTCTGATTCGGGCGTTGGAAGTGATAACGGAGATAAGCGATTATCTGCCACAGAGGTAAAGTTAGTGATCAGATTTTTTTCCTTCTGTGCCTCTGACTATATCTGCCTGTACTTACTGAACTCCTCTCGGTAAAGGGCATTAATGCATCCTCATGAGAACGTGCAATAATTAACTTATTTGAAATCCTCGCGGTGTTATATAAACATTAGCTGTTGTTAGCTTTTCTGCATCTTTAATACTTTGTAAATGTCTCAAAAATAGAGTCCCTGCCTCCTTCTCCTCCTACCACACCCCTCACATTATCTACAATATTCTTGAATGCTTAATAAATATTATGAAATGACTAAATGGTGTGCAAATACCCAGGAGGCATTTTTATTAATATGTTTTTTTAAAGTGACTGTTATTTAGGAAAAATTGTTCTATGTGTGCATAAATGTTAAGGAATCAAATGTATACTGCATTTTAGCAGTTCATCCACAGGAAATGCATTTTTGAGTAGCCATAATTTTTATAGCATTTTTTGTTTTCCTAAAACTTTTAGATTGTGTCTTTTTCAGATAGCTGGATAGAAGTTTGGTTATTTGTGAGCTAAGAGGCCTCCCACACTAGCGCTTCCTAAAGTGGTTATAAATAGCTCGTTTAGAACATTTGTTATCTCATTTATGGTCTGTCTGTTAGGTTCTCCAACATCTTTCACTAATATACCATTAAATGGGGCTTCTTGTCCAGCAAAGCTAGGAGGGGCAGCCGAGGTAGGGGATGGACGTATCATAAGGTCTTCCCTTTTTGAGGGAACTTACTGAGTTTTGTAGTTATTGAGTTTTGAAACATTATAACACTCTGACGATGTAGTTAATAGTTCAGTTACCCCATCTAAAGAATTCACATTTTTACTGTATGTAAGTCCAGGACAAATGCTTTTTTCCCTGTTCTCTTCAGGCCTTTGAGCTTTAATGTAGCTAAGATATTTGAATTTATTTTCCAACAAAATACTTCGTAATGCAATATATTTAAAAAACTAGGATACCTTAAAATCTTTCTTTAAAAAATCTAATACAGACTGTTTCAAAAAGAAGAAGAGTTAGTAAGCAGAGAAAGAAGGCCAGTATCAGTAAAATAAAATTACCCTCATGAAGCCACATGAATAGTTTACTGTGGTTCCCTGAGGGAGAAAATACTCAACACATTGCTTTTATAAGTTGTGTTTAATTCAACTCCCTTAGCTTTATTAAAACTCGTAAGTCCCCTGAAATATCCCATTGTTTCAGAAATTATGCACCCAAGCTTATTTTCTATTAAATTAAAACAGACTCTGCTTTATCCTTTATCTGTCTTCTAAGGATAATTAAGTTCATTAATAAAACATTACACAAAGAACTTCATTATCCTTTTGTTCTCACTTAGCATAAGTAGGATGCTAATAGCTTCCCTAAAGGAGGCCAAGGGTTTATTGTCTCCCTTTTAACTAGACGCATATCTTGGAATTTTGCTAAATTTTTAAGATGGGAGGAGGGTAGAAGGAAGGACCACAGAATGTGTACACATTTTCCCCTTGGCCCTTATTTCTTTTTTTTGTCTCACATTGTAGCTCAGGTAATGACCTGAGAACACCTCCAAAAGATTTGTTTTTTACAAAGATAAGGGTTCCAAAGTATCCTATGTAGCGTTCTATTTTACTTTATTTGGCAAATACGTTTTCATGTGTGATCAGTTAATCTTGCTCCCTATTTACATCTCAATGTGGGACTCAAAAGTCACACCTCATTCCATTTCTTTGGCTGTTTCCCTTATCTGATTGATTTAGCATTTGTCACTCAGACGTTTACAACGTATTTTTTGCAAGGTAAACAAGCAAAAAGAAATACAGGGCACCCTGAATAGCTGTGTCGTGAATGCAATGCACATTTGTTTTCTGAACAGTTTGTACACGTGTCCATAAGTAAAGGAACGCCTTTCTCTGAAAGTCACAGCCTTTAGGAACAAACCACAGGCACCTGAAACGTGCTCTGTGGAGATTCCTGATCCCTGTGATTTGAAAAGCTTTTCTCATAACAGCAACACTAAAGCAGAGACATAGGGAAATACATGAGGCTTCGTATTTCATTTATGACAGAATGTCTGAAGAAACTTCATCAGTTAGTGCAGGGAAACAAGACCCCCCCGGGAGAACTAACTCTGATTACAATCGAAGCATTATGCTGAAAATTGCGCAGAACTCCTGTTCCTTTTAAGCACTACAGTTGTTCAGCCCTTTGATATATTTAAAGCAGCTTCCTCAGCCTCAAACAGGGAAATAACTGAAGCTTCATGTTGCACATAAGATGCCCTGTAAATAAAGGAGATGTTGTCCTAGAGGTGGACTGCCTGCTATTTTGTGACTGGCCACGTGAAACCTTAAGGTAGTTTTGGTAAATGAGTGTTGTTGTCGGACCTCCAAGCACCATTACTGTTAAAACAATTGATTAGACACGGGGCTGATGTGATAGTGTATTTATAGTTATTTCTTTGTTCTGTCAGGTGTCACACAGTCCTTCTCAGTGCCCCTGACTATGGCTCTTCGGTAACAAAATATCATCAGGTACCTGAAAAAATTTCAAATCCAAACATGTACAAAGAAGTACATGAATGTTAGCTCAGTGGACTTTGGCAAAGTGAATACACACACATAGCCAGCTCACAGTTAGAGAAACAGAATTTGACCAGCAACCCAGAAAGCCCCCCTTGTGCACCGCCCCCCCCCCAAGAGCAGCCACTATCCTGACTTCAAACACCATAGATTAGTTTCGCCCCTTTTTGAATTTTATAAGTGGAATTGTCCTTTGACGTATTTTACTCAACATTATGTTTGTGAGAATCACGGTATGTCTTGGTAATCACACAGCATTCTCTTACTCTACACTGATAACACTTTTCCTTTGAGTGATGCAGCGCCCTGTATCTTTTCAGCCTTCTGATGAAGACACCGTTAGCCTCAACGTGCCAATGTCAAATATCATGGAAGAAGAACAGATCAAGGAGGACTCCTGTCATCACCTCAGCCCAGTGAAAGGTCTGAGAATGAAGGATGGGGAGGAAGGGCTCGTTTTTAAGTGTCAAATGCCACGTTTAAAATATGCAGAAATATGGCAACAATTATAGTTAATGTTTATGGAGTGTTTCCTATGCACCAGGCACTGTGCTAATCTGTGCAGGTGATCTCATTTGAAGTTCAAAACTCAGATGGGTATCACCTCCATTCTATACATGAGGCAACCAAGTCTCAGAGAATTTAAGTAACTTGCCAGTGATCATGAAACTAGTAGTAGTAGAGCTGTTCTCATTCTGAAGATATATTTAAGATTCTTTATACCCATTATTAGAAAGAAAATATTGATATGTAGGTATACTATTTAGGACAACTCTAGCTATTGTAATGCATAACATCCTCAGATTTCATTGGCTTGTTCATATAATTCAAAGTAAGTCCAAATGGAAGTTAGTGATTGCCAGGCACCTCTCCTCCACATGTTGATTCAAGGACCCAAGCTCCTTTCATCTGGTGACTCCGCCATCTTTAATACAAGATTTCCAAGTCTGTCTACGTCAAGTCATAGGGGGAAGAGCATGGAGGTTTGCTCCAGGGAGGTTTTTATGGCCAGGCGTGGAAGGTCACCGGATCACATCTAACTACATGCAAAGGTGGGAAATGTAGTTGGGATGTGTGTCCAGGAATCTACTTGACTCTGGACAAGTCAGTTGACCTTAATTCTCTCACGTGAAAATGAAATGATTAGATGAGGTTATTTCTCATGGCTTGTATTGCTCTAAGATTCTCTGGTTCTTTGATAAGAGAATCACCAAAGGATCCCCAAGCACTCTGTCTCGCGTACCCTCAAAATCCTAGTAATATATTTCAGATCTTGGTGAGAAGCACTCATTTGATTATATTATGGCAGTATTTTTGACTGCTTCTGTTTATTCAGTGACTTTTAAATAAATTGTAAAGTGTGTGTTTGCTGATTTGTGGTGGCAGAGACTGATGATGTATGGATAGTACAGAACTACATTAATA